AATCGTTTGGTAACAATTTCTAAACACAAAGCTTTTGACCTCCAAATCCTTGCTAAGAACACTTTCAAGATTCGCTATATCATTTTTCTCACTCACTAACATCATCTCAAAAAGAAATCTAATTGGGTGGATAAATCACCTATCTCAATACCCAAAGTTGAGTCACCTCTCTTTAATCCCAACGGGGAGTAGGATTTCACCACATATATATTAGGTTTGAGAATAACGCTTATTTATAATTACTATGCCCTAACTTGTTGGTATTTGGTTGCAAAAAAAGAATGAAAAGGGGTTATATACTGTCGTGTGTAGAGAGTTTTAGATATGGAGAAATTGGCTTAGGTAAGGCAGTTCAAAGAATTTATATTAAAGACAATAATTTTTTCCTCTTTGTAAGAAATATTATCCCCACAATACAATGCCTACTCAGTAGACTTTGATAACCTAGGCAATACACTCAAGAAAGAAACAAACCTAGAGGAAAAGATTTAGAATATCTTTCGAACACCCTTAGGCAAATCCAAAATTAGCAAAGAACAAGTTGGAGGGATGTTGGATATATTAGTCAATGTCCTTTAACCCCTATGACACATTTTAATCTGTGAGGTCCAATGGGCTAAAGTGGATCATTACAAATGGTATCAAAGCCATTCTATGTAACTTTTTGAACGGTAATGGAGTAAACTTCAGTGAGAATGTCATCTCAAAAGGGAGTGTATGTAAAACCCATAGATAAATTTCGTATCGATAAAACATGAGAAAATGCTGAATATATTAGTCAACATTTTAAACCCTTACTAATTCATTTTAAAATCGTGAGCTCTCTTGTGTCAGGTCGTCGCACTCTCTTATTGCTCTCTTAGATTTTATATGAGCCAAATGGTGGCACTTGCACCACCCTATAGAGACATAACCCTTGAAGAAGTAGAAACACCTTTCTGAAGCTTCATTATCAAATTTGAATTTCATTTGAATGATAATCGGACAACTGGTTGCAAACGATTTAATCTCCGCTCTTCAACCCATTTCCACGTTTCCTCCGTTTCATTTCTTTCTTCATTTTTAAATCTCCGTTTCCATAATTAGTCACTAACTTTTTTTTATTTTTTTTTAAATTAAACAAACTTAAAAATTATAAAAGTTATATTAATAGGAGTACAATGGGACTCAATTCTAAACCAATGGGACTCAATTCTAAACCTCGTCTTAATATATCAGCACAATTTCAAACAAAAATCTAACAATAATATCGACACATGAACTCACTGGCATCATTTGTGACTGTGCCTTCCTGTCTTTGAATACTTTTTGAGTCTCAGATATGTTCGGAGTGTATGCATAAGACAATACAAACACATATGAGAAGATGTCATATTAAACTTAAAAGACATGCTGCCACATCACTCAACTCAAGTCTACTCACATCTTCATATGCTCTAACATTCACTCCCGTGAACTACTGTGGACTTCAGATCTTGCCTCTCTACTTAAAGACTTCACTCATCTTCTATTATCCAAGATATCACATCTTCAATTTTTGATCAAAAAAATTCAAAAACTCAACTCTAATACCACTTGTTGGGAGAGTTTAATAGTCAACTTGAAAGCACATCGGTGAAAAAGCATGAATACATATGAGTTGATGCCATATTAAATCCAAAAGACATGTCTACTAAGTTTATAAATCTTCACATATATATTCCACTTTAACATCGGTCTTCACATATATATTCCACTATAACATCTTGTTTTTCATTGATGTGGGATCTTTATACATTATTTAACTCAACTCTACTCACATATTCATATTCTCCAATAAGATAA